TTATTAAAACATGACATATGGAAAATGACTTAACATACAAAATAACGTCAAAAAGCAAATAAGTCCAAGAGAGGCATGATATCTCGGGAAGCTATTATATATTGAAAAACAACTGATTCAGTGTTATCAATAACAAAACCTGATATAAAAAAAGGAGCTATAAATAAAAAAAACCGTTCATCTGGCCTGTAATAAACAGTTGGAAAACAATTTTAAATTATCAGTTAGTCAGATGCGTAAATCTAATCTGCCAAAAACACGTTCGTTATATTAAACAACGACCCGTGTTTACGGATTTTAATTCAAATTTTAGTTGTTAATTTACAATTAAACATTTAAATCAATAAGAAGTATTTGGGCTTGGGTTGTTTTAGTTAGGAGTTGGGCTGAATGGGCTTTGGCCCAACCCATAACATTTTCAACTTTCAAGTAATGAAGTTTGTTGATATTTGAGTAAGCTACAATTTTGGTCCTTGTGGTTTGTTGAAAATAACACTTTTTGTCCCTACGGTTTCGAAATTACAAGAGTACCTCGTGGTTTATAAAAACGTCTGGATTTGAGTACTTCCTCTAACGATCGTTAAAAGTGGTGCATTCTCGCCTTTTTTATTATTTTTTGGTCTTTGTGATTTTTGATTAGGTAAAAGACGAAAAAAATTGATAAAAGAACGAAAATTACTCTCATTTAATGAAAATTTCTAATGGTCGTTGAAATGAATGATCAAACTGAACTTTTGTGCAAACCACGATGGTAATCTTGTAATTTAAAATCCAAACAACGGTGGTACCTGATTGGTTCCACAGGTCAACAGTGCCAGGAGGTTTCAGGTTCAAATTCAATGAGGAATAAAAATTCCCTTGTGGCCACAGAAGTTCAAATGCGATGACTCTGGGCTACCCGCAAAGCAGGTGGTCACCCTAGGATTAGTCGGCTCGCATAGGCGGTTGAATATCCATGTTCAACCGGTTACCCGGGTACTTAAATATTTAAAACTTATTAGGTAGCAAGATAAAAGTTTTGAAAGTACGTTACCCAAAATAAGAATCAAATTAAAATACGTTACTTTTTCATGCAATTTGCCCTCCAATAAATATCTTATTGCATTTTGTTTCCTAATATAAATAAATGATAATAATAAATAAACCTTATTATTTTCCATATATATTTCACTTATAAATAATAAATTATGATAAGGGCAAATTGCATGAAAAAATAACGTACTTTAACTTGATTCCTATTTTGGGTAACATACTTTCAAAACTTTCATTTTGGTACCTATTGATAGAGCAAATTGCATGAAAAAGTAACRTACTTTAACTTGATTCCTATTTTGGGTAACGTACTTTCAAAACTTTCATTTTGGTACCTAAGATGTAAAGTTTTAAACATTTAAGCACCCGGGTAACTGGTNGTACTTTCAAAACTTTCATTTTGGTACCTAAGATGTAAAGTTTTAAACATTTAAGCACCCGGGTAACTGGTTGAAATATTAACCGATTATCATGCTGATATGGCRAGTGATGTGGTATCAAACTCAGTATTATTTGCTGACGTGGTCAGTGACGTGGATTTTTTAAAATCTAAAATTAGTCTTTTTTTAGTCTAAAATTAGTCTTTACGGGTTACCCGGGTACTTAAATGTTTACAACTTTACATCTTAGGTACCAAAATGAAAGTTTTGAAAGTACGTTACCCAAAATAGGAATCAAGTTAAAGTACGTTACTTTTTCATGTAATTTGCCTTTATGATAATTATCAATAAACATCTCGATTATTTTATAATATAAGAATCAGTTATAATTTGTATTTAAAAATGCTTTTAGATATATACCATGTTAATGACAATCCAAGAACAAGTTAAAGTATGATAATTAATTATTGTATTTTAAAAAACATTAATTAAAAAAACAATATAACCTGGTAAACTCATTAATTTAAGAGTCCAACTCTTAGTTTTTGTCATAAAATAATATTTAAAAATTAATTAAAATGATTTATTATTTTTTGCATTTGGATTTTTGTTCTCTTTGGGAAATGTGGTTTGATTCCTTTTGCCTTTTCTTTTCCTTTTAGTCCTTTCCATCTACACAAACACCCTTTCTTTTAAGGGGAAATAAATACTTACACATATATAGAGATTGATTACTATACAATGATTTATATTTGTACAATTAATACAATTCAATTTCAATCGTTCATTTAATTTGATGAATATATGATTTCATACAAGTTTTAATTGTTTTCTAATATAAAGTATTGATCATAATTAATTAACTCTAGTCATCTTCCATAAATATTCAAATCATAATAAATGAACTCTCATTATTTTTATAAATATCTCAATTAATTGGGTTGCATTGGTTGTACAAATGCATTTGAAATATTCTCTTTTTCTCTCTCTATATGATTATTTAATTCAATTAATAGTTATTATATGCTTTTTTATCATGACAAATTAAAGCATTTTCTAAAGTAAATCTTTTATAATTTATTTTTGAAAAAGCAATATTTTTATAATTGATTTATGAATGTACATATTTAATAAGTTATTAAATGACATTAGACATGGTCAAAAACCAGTTACGGTTCGGGTCGATCGGACCCAAATCGGTCCTGGACTGAAATAGTAAAAATCCGAACAAGTTACGTACCGGTCCCGTCGAAAATACTAAGATCCGGTTAAGGGTACTTGTAAGCGGTTACGGTCCCTGATCCCGGGCTGGACCCAAACCGGTCCTATATTAAAAAATATTTTCTTTTTGGATTTTGTTAAATTTTTTTTGATAATTTTTTAGAAATACCTTAATATTATTCTAATATAATTTAAAATATCTAATTAGGTCAATCATATACATTTAAAAAGTACGTTTTATTGTAGTTTTATAATTGAATTTCAATCAAATACACTTAAAAAATATGTTTATTGTTAATTTGTAATTTGATTTTCAATCAAATACACTTAGAAAGCTAGAAATACATTTAAAAATACATTTTCTTTGGAAAATAATCGGGCCGGGCTAGACCCATTTGGCCATCTCTAGTCATGATAGTAAAAATCAGATTCTAATAAAATCGAGTTTATAGAATGTTTAACTGTTATAATATAATGTTTTGTAAGACGTACAAAAATGTCCCATAAACTTATCGGAACATTTTTACACACGATAGTTGACAAACAAAAAGCATATTAAATCGTGAATCGTTTACTCGACGAGACAAAAACGTTAAGGTTAATTTGGTCATTATACCCAAAGGGTTAACTAAAAAGTCACCAACTTTAAACAATTAAGTTCACTAAAATTAATTGGATTTTTAATATTAGATGAATATTTTTTTTTATGTATTTTTGATAATATTTTAAGGAGGAATTTTATTGATTGTATATGAAACAAATTTTTGTTTAATGTTGTAGCACATGCATAGAAGTAGAACCTTCTCCTAAACTACATTTATAATAGCAAAGTGGTGACTTCATTATTATTTTTAATATACAAGTTGCATATATATATTAACGAGCGATTAAATACAAACCACTTATATTTCGACAAACCGTACAAACCATTTTCATATGTCATTGTTTAATCTTATGGATTTTTTTTTCCATGAAATTGTTTAATTTTATGAATTGTTTCATATAATATTTTTTTTATGAAGTTGTTTTATATATGTTTATGAAATTGTTTCATATAATACTTACGAAATTTTAATGAAACTGTTTCATGTATTTCTCTAAGATTAATATAATGAAGATGATAATATTCATGATTAACACTCTGCACAATAAAAATAATTAGTTAACCCTTCATAATTACAAATTTTTTTAACAAAATAACAAATTATAATTGGTTGAATGAGTTTTGTACGGTTTGTACAAATTACGTGGTTTGGAAAGTAAATCTCCTCTCTCTCTATATATGTATGTATGTATGTATGTATGTATGTATGTATGTATGTATGTATGTATGTATGTATGTATGTATGTATGTATGTATGCATGCATGTATGTATGTATGTATGTATGTATGTATGTATGTATGCATGCATGCATGCATGTACGTACGTACGTATGTACGTATGTATGTATGTATGTATGTATGTATGTATGTATGTATGTATGTATGTATGGTTAGGTTCACGTGAGATCAACCTATTTTCGTGAGACTCGTGAAACCATTTTTTTACACTTAAAACCTTACAGCAAAACCGTTGTGAAGGTAAAAAAAAGTCAAACTTGCACAGCTGTTTTACTGTGAAATTTCAAGTGGAAAAAAAAATGATCTTATGGGTCTTACGAAAATAAGCTGATCCTACGTGATCCTAAATCTGTCTATGTGTGTGTGCATATATATATATATATATATATATAATAAATATTTATGTTATTTATTTATAAATGATTATAACCCATACATGCCAGAGCAACTACACTAACCTAACTGGCAAAATAATATATGCTGTGTAACAAACATGCCACATGAATCCCCATAAATCCAAGATTTTTTGGGATGACGCTTGGAAATATCCACGATATAAATATTATTTATTTACAAAATTTATTTATTTTAAAGAAAAAAAGATCATATATGTGTATAATTATGCATAGAGAGTTAAGAATTTTGCTGAATAAGTGCACCTTTAAGGTCGATCAAATATTACAAAGTCAACTCGATGTATTTTTAGCCAAATTTCACCGTTTCGAGAGATTTTTTTAGTTTTTTAAAGTTATTGATCTTTCTTGTATTTTTCAAATGCCCGGAAGCTTCCTCAAAGTTTAACGAGCGTATCTTTTAGACCCGAAAAAGTTCTACTTACAGAAATCGTTTGAGTTGGGTGCACGGAGACCTTCGTAAATCCAACCCGATCATGCATTGTTTAACGATTTAATTTGGTTTAAATTATGGGATTTCTAATTACAAGGAAATGCACAAATATACATCAATTAATTAAATAAAATTACAAAATGGGTGATTTTTTTGAATTAAAAACGAAGAGAGAAAGGTAGAGATTTTTCATTTTTATAGTTCAGGCTGCTGCTGCTGCTCAGACTCCGGCCATGGCCAAAAAGCTGCAGGTTGTTGATCTTCCATAACATTAAGCATATTAGTGCAGAAACCTTCATGATCTCCGGCGACCGCCTCCTGATTTAACGGTTGACCGAGGAGATACGGCGGTGTTAAGCCGCCGCCGATCATGGAAGAATTGTTTGAAATCTGGGTGTAAAATATGGTGTTGTTATCTTCACAACTGTTATCACTTCCATTGCTCCAAGATCCTTCTGTTTCTTTGTTTAGATTCACCATGGCTCTAACCCCATTTGGTTCTCCGCTCTTTAAAGCCACCAACTGAAATCAAACATCAAGAATCAAAGAAATTAAACAACTTTATAAAGAAAAATGCAAGATGGATTTAGGGTTTAATGAATGAATTAGGGTTATTGACCTGTGCATGAAGTTTGTTGTTTTGGTTCTTGAGTGCATCATTGTCAGCTTTAATGGAGTCAAAGTGTCTCTTTAAGACATTGTAGTCTTTCTCTAACTGTTTAGTCTTCCATCGAGCCCTTCGGTTCTGAAACCAGATGGCTACCTGTCTTGGCTGCAACCCTAGAACCCTAGCCAGTTGGCGCTTTCTTTCTGGTTCGAGCTTGTTTCCCAACTCGAAGCTTTTCTCTAGAGCTTTCACTTGCTCTAAGTTGAGCCTTCTTTTCTTCTCTCCCAGTTGACATCCTTCGTCCTCCGACGTCTCACCGTCGCCGGCATTCATTTCTTCAGCTTCCCTACCGGAATATGACATGGATCTTCTCATCATCAGTGGCTCAACACCTGCACACACACACACATAAATATATATATACCAACTAATGATAATTCAATTGTACTTGATCTTCAGACACACACACATGTATGTGTGTGTATATATATATATACATTTATATGTATATATTGAGAAGAAGAGAGAGAAGAGGACCTTGGAAGTGATGAGGGTGGTGGTGGTGATCTAATTCATAGCCAAAGAACATGGGTTCAGGTGGGAGGAAGGACATGGCAATTGCAATGGAGAATTTTCTAAATTTTTTTGGAAAAAGATTTAAGGATTTAAAGTGAGAGGGGTTGAATGGTGTGGAAATGGGAGTGTGTGTGTGTGTGTGTTTTGATGTGAGAGGTTGTCTTATGGGGATAGAGGTTGGAACCTGTTGGATACCTACAACTACAAGAGAGAGAAGGTTCCCTTCATTCTGCTACTAAATCCATTGTTTATGGGTTTCACCATGTTGATACACTTTGTTTACCGGTTAATAGTTCAATTAATAGATAAAATTTGAATCATTAAGAGATGAATCTAGTTTGGTAAAAATTTTTTGTCTCTTAATGGTTACAAAACCCTCTGAATGATTTTGTATCTTGAACCTCTCTCAACCATTAAGAGCCCTAATATCATTGTAAACAATTACCAAACAATTATATTTCATTTTGCACTATATCATGAAAGCATCTTAATCATTCTGACCACTTAATGATTCTGCACAAAACCATTCAGCAACTACCAAATAACCGCTAATTGTTTTTTAATAGGTCATTTTTTACATCTTGTAGAGGGATTAAAGTGTAAAAAAAATTTTAAACCAGGTTTACAAGTGTAGAGACCAAATTTGTTAATTAGTCCCAACATCACTTGTGTATCTAATCTACAAATTTGGTCCTTACACTTGTGGATTGGATTCATAGATTTTTTTTACACTTTGACCCTTCCGTAAGTTGAGGAAACCAAGTTTAAAAATGGTTATTTCTATTAATTTCCCTTTTTAATATATATATATATATATATATATATATATATATATATTTATTACTAGAAACATTTCCTTACACTAGTTAGGTATGCTATAGGTGTTTAGCATTAAAACTAGAGACATGTGAGAATGTTCTTATTGAAATATATAATACTTATGTATGGTAAATAGAACAAATAAACTCACTTACCCTTCTCACCTTTGGTGAGTTTTGAACCCTTGATCTCCTAAGAGACCAATGACTCACATGTCGCTAAGAATATGAGTATATGTAATGTTATACTGAGTTATTGTTTACTTATTGTATGTGCTTTACGCGGTAAACTTGTAATGACATCATATATATATTTGGCTACGTTGATGAAGTGCTTATCAAATCATGGACTCGAGCTCTTAAGCTGACAAGTATTCGTGCATCTCAAGATCAAGAAAGTCGGTAATCAATAGAAACAAATGACAACTCTAGTTGTACTTCAAATGCAGTATGCCATATATATCTTTTTTATATTTTTACCCACGATGCGAAGGTTAATTTATATACATATAATATTCCAATTACCCCAGGATTGGGTTCCGGTGAGAAGAGTTAAAGTAAAAAACGTAAGAAGGGATTCTCACCCTAAGATGCACATTAGAATGAGATGCACCGAGACGTACCATATTAGTTCTCATATCAAACATGATTCATGAGTAAGTTTGAGATTAAATATGATTAAAGATCCAGACCCCCGTTACGTATCTCACCTTAACTCTGCTTCTTACACGATTACGATAAATATTTTACACTTTAAAATAGTGAAATGTAGAGTAGTTTAATTCAAACATCAAAATTCGTTTTGGTATTAAATATTGTATTTTTAAAACATATATAAATTTAATATAATCTCTTGTTTTTTTGGGGACAAAGTTGACTAGAAATATAATGCTCATTTTCATTATTTTATTTTTCAATTATTTTTAACAAAATAAAATAAATTGTACCCAAGGACATCTTGTCCCATAAAAAAATGAAAAGAAACGAATATGAATCTTTTCCCAAATGGGATTATAGAAATATGGTGTATAAATATTTGTACAAAAATTTAGTTACTGATAATTTTAACTAGTCTCACATAAAAATATATAATAAATTGCATGAAAAAATAACGTACTTTAACTTGATTTTTATTTTGGGTAACGTACTTTCAAGCTTTTATTTTGGTACCTAAGATTTAAAGTTTTAAACATTTAAGTATCCAGGTAATCGGTTGAAGACTAATTTTAGATTAAAAAAAATTCATGTCACTAACCACGTACGCGAATAATACTGAGTTGGATACCACATCACTCGTCACATCAGCATGATAACCGGTTACCCGGGTACTTAAATGTTTAAAACTTTATATCTTAGTTTTCAAAATGAAAGTTTTAAAAGTATGTTATTTTTTCATGCAATTTGTCCGAAAATATATTCTATAACTATATTTAAGAATTAATTATCGATTAAAAATATAATACGTAAACGAACAATTAAATACGTTGTATTTGCTAATAATCATTTTAGGTAAACTGAAACCTAAAACATTTCTTGCTTCATTATAAATATCGTTTTATGAAAAATATCCTATAAAAAAATGTACGACTCTCATCACATGGGTGTCAAGTACTCTCAACATGATTTTACATTAATTCGGTATTTTGATAATAGTCGTAAGACATTCATATCAAACGGTCGATGATGCTTTTGAATAAAAGATTAAAATTGCATTTTATAAAACTAAAGTAACGATACAAATAAATATGTACACTCGTTTTTTTGATGTGACAATGTGCAATATATGCTACAAAAAGTTGTGTAATTTTGAAAGAGATCATGATGGAACTGGTTTTTGTCAATTCCCACACTGATCGATCCCTCATTGATCAGCGAAAGTTTTTGGTTTAACATTCAATTAAGTGATGTGTTAAAACATGCATTATGAATGATAAACCATATGGATTTTGTATATTTCGAGACGTGTAATTAGGATGTTTGTTGTATAAATTTGATACTGTAGATCCTTTTATTATTTTAGGAGTTGTTTCGTGAAAATACTATTAAATACTTAATTCCTGTTGTTTTTTACAATATATTTTTATGTATATTTATCTCATTAATTGTGAAATAATAATGTAAAATTACTTATATATCCTTATTATATCTAATACTTTTCAATAAATAGAATTAACCATTACCTCTATTCATAACAAATTTTAATATATATATATATATATATATGTATATATGTATATATATAATACATGTTGAAGTTTTAATTAGAAAATAATGCCAAATAAAAAAACAAATAATATTAAAAAAATAAAAATGGAGAAGAGTAGTCTGGCCGCTTCACATGCTATCGTGTTACCATGTGCACCAGGTTGTTTTTCTCTCTCTCTCCCCCTCTCCCTCTTTAGACTTAGACATTGTTCGAGACCAGCATGTTTTTATGAAATCAATATATTTTTGTGAGACTCGTGAGATTATTTTTTTACACCTGAAATTTCACGGTAAAACACTGTTAAGGTAATCTTCACAGTGTTTTTATTATGAAGATTCGATTATTTTTACCGTAACCGTGTTTTACTGTGAAGTTTTAATAGTTAAAAAATTGTCTCATAGGTATCATAAAAACAGGTTGGTCTCACGTAATCCTAAGTTTATTTACACACACACACACACACACACACACATATATATATATATATATATATATATAAACACGTATAATTTATATTAGTTGTCTAAACATGGTAAGGAGACAAGTTCGATTAGGGTGTTAACGACTTGAGCTTTTAAAGAATGATTCAAACTAGAGTTTAATTATGGTCGAGCTTGAATCAATCTCAAACGTCAATAAAATCCGTTTGATTTTATCAAGTCGAGCTTAATAACATCATTATTTGACTTGGTTTGTCAAAAAAATATTCAAGTTCGAGTTAGGCCCTACTTTTAACTAAAGCTTTAGTCGTGTTTGAGCTTGATTTTATAATTCCGTTAATGAGGAGTATTTTCATCATTTTATCGATTTCTTTTTTATTTTTACCCAATTAAAATCGTTTTTCTTTTTATAATGTTGTTCTATGTGGTTTTCGATTAGGTAAAAGACAAAAAAATCGATTAAGAAAACGAAAATGTCCCTCATTTAACGGCATTTTTTAACGACCGTTAGAGGGAGGAGTGAAATCCAAACATTTTTGCAAATCCCGATAACCATCTTTTATTTTCGAAACTACAACAACGAAAATTGTTATTTTTGACAAACCACAAGGACCAGATATATAGTTTCCTCTAGAGTAAATTACATTCATGGTGTGTGTGGTTTATTGGTTGTCATTGTTACAGTCCCTTAGATATGTTTATTGCACTATTGGTACTTGTGGTATGTAAAAAGGCACTTTCATAGTCCCTCCCTCTAACAGAATAAAAAAGATTATGTTAATCTAGTTAAATTAGGGGTAACCCACCAAGTGTAGGCCAATTTCTGTTCCACCATTTTTTCTGATATCATGAATATGAAACCCATTTCTTCTATCAACCCGAAAACAAACACACATCGCACACACACACAGACTTAGGAAACCCAACATACTTATAACCACATCCGTTTGTGTTGCTCACGAGCAGATTTGGTTGTGGCGACAAGTAGTGGAAGTGGGGAGAGCTCAAAATGGGGGGTCAACAGAAGGAAACAAAGAGTCGCACGAAGATGGGGATTTCGTCAAGCGCAGGTGTATATGTATGTGTGTATCTATATATATATATATATATGTATGTATATGTAAAGTTTTGTTAGGATTGAGTTCCGATCAGATCAAAAGTTCAGATCTCTTCTTACATTTCCGGCTTCTAATCATAACTTCTCTTCTCACACGATTCTTCGCTTATTTTGTTATATGTAATATATATTTTTTAATTTTACAATATGAAAAAGACAAGAAGTGTAAAAAGACAAAAAAAACTCCCCTTGACTTAACATGGTTAACAAATTCCATTAGAGGGAGGGACTCGAAATGTGCACTTTCGCATACCACAGGTACCGAAAGTGTAATAAATGCATTCAAGGGACTTTAGTCAAACAAACGACAAAGCACAGGACCAGTAATGTAATTTACTCTTCACTCCAAAAATAAATATAAGAAGTGTCAAATTGGGCCCAATGAATCCATTTTCAATAACCCATGGGCCAGTTTCTATTATTTGGGCTACCCATTTGAGAGGCTAATATTGCTATGGTTGTCACTTGTCAACTCACTATGTTGGAATGCTATGTAAATTT